ATTATAGTGGCTATGACAGCTACAAACAAATAGCAGTAAAGTGGAGCAATACTAAACTGAATATTTCTTTTTCAACATTTTGTCTGAAAAGAAAGAAGGGAATCAACACCTACAGCATCTACTTGGTCCTTTTTAAAGCAGTGGCACTTTTTTCCTGGATTCATGAAATATCTACTTTAAAGAGTTGTGGGTAAGTACTATATTTTGTATTGTACTAAGTCTTGTATTCTCTTCAGTACTTTGTTTGGAACAGAATCCAGTACTATGCAGTCCTAGTATTTGTACTAAAGCTAGGCAAGTTATTTTAGAGGGTTCTGAGCACTCCACCAGACCTGGTCAATGAAGCAAATGTTCCAAAGCATTCCCACAACTCTCCAATGTTTGAAATCCTACCAAATGATTTATATAAGCCTAATTCATACTTTCTTCTATGGCGATCAGGGTGGTTTTACATAAGGTTCACAGGTAGTCTATTTTCCAAGTACTTAGACCGCCAGATTGCCTTTCCCACATTGCAGCTTTAGTTTCCTTGAACAATGTTAACACACCTTCAGGTCATTCAAATATACACATTGGCTCTGATCCTGAAACCATATAGCATGCTTTCTATATTAATGTCATATTGGATGTAATCATTGTTAAAAAAAAAACAGGCAGCATTTAGAATATAATTTTCTCTTTTCCATTAGTTCAGGGGTATCAAACTGCCGGTCCACGGACTGGATGCATCACACAGAAGCCGCACCCACCCTAGCTCCAGCAAGGGGGGAAAAATCACAATATGTCATGACATGTCAAGTGATGCGGCGAGTTTGACACCTCTGCATTAGTTTGTAATAAAGCATGGGCAATAAACAAGAAGCTGATTCATTTCCCCGCTTCATTTTAGCTTTTTTCTGTTTTACATACATTACTAATATTTTCCTGCAATTTTTCAATAGTTCAGACACCTAAAAAGAGTTCTACACAATGAGACTTTTAATATAGGTTTAGTGTCCAACAGATTTCCTACTTATTAATATGAACAGGCTCTGGCCTGATGCTTAAAAAATAAATTCATATCATAATCTACAGGAAAATGAAGTTGCAAATATATTTTTTGTGCTACTACTGCTAACACTACACATAAGCACCATACAAAAGATCAGTAAAATTATTTGCAAAACAAACAAGTACTCTCTCACACTTGCCTTCATTGTTTAAGTCACTTTGTAGAGTATAATATACAATGTACTGTGTATGTAGAGGGGAAACTACTTGGATCAACCACCCTCTCTAGATCTCAGGCTCAGAAGTATGTGCACCAGAAACAACACCTATTTGTTTCAGAATATTTTTCAGGTTGACAAGCTGTCATGTGCTGAACTACCTGTTCTTTATTTTGTGTACACAAACATAAAGTGCAGTTAGTGCAACTGTTAACTCCTTACGCTGTATCTCTGAGAATGTAAAAGAGAGAGAAAACATAGGGTTTCCCCAGTCTGTCCCAACTGCATTTCAGCTTCGGCGACATCTCTCCACCCTCAAAATCCAGAGTCAATCATTTATATTCCAATCCTACACAACAGAAACAAATCCCCCCCAACACACATATACTCAGTGTTTGTGAAGAAATTAGAATTTCTTTGAAAGCTTTTTCAGCACCTGTCCCTGCATAAAAAAGCTTAAGGAAAGGTCATCAATTTCTTATTGGATTTGGAAATACGTAGAAGTAGCAAAAGTTTCCACTGCTTTCCAGTGTCTCAAAAACCCACCAGAAAGATGGGATTCCATCCTTCCAGCTCAGACATGTCAAACACAAGGCGGATGCGGCCCGCGACGTGATTTCATATGGCCCGCAAAGCCATCCTTGAAACAGTGAGGGAATGGCCCCCGCTGCCTTGGCCCTGGCTGCCTTGGCCCCGGCCGGCCAGGAGCCAATGTACAATTTTGTGGTGGCCATCTATGCTGAAACGCATTCAATCTTAGCTCCACAAGGCCATCTGGAAACAGCGAGGAACCAGCCCCTGCCGCATCGGCCCCGTCCCCTGGGTGCATGCTGGGGAGGTGTCACTCTTTGTGAGGAATGAAGAAATGCACTATCGCCTGGAAGTGGCCAGCAAATGGCCCTCGCCTACTTCACATACCCGGCTTGATGGGCTCCAGGGGAGAGGTTTCGGCAGGCTCTTCCAGTGGACCATGCCTTGGCGCTTGCCCTGGTCCCACCCCCTTCTGCCAAAGACCCTCAGATCTGTCCCACTCCTGCCCAGGCCCCCACAGGCCCCCTTGACGCGAACGATGTAGAGCTGGCCATGCCCACCCAGTAGGCCACACCCACTCCAGCCATGCCCACCCAGTAGGCCATGCCCACCCTGGCCACACCTACCCCCCCAGGACAACAGCAATGCTGATGCGGCCCTCAGTGAAATTGAGTTTGACACCCCTGTTCTAGCTTCTCAGTGCAGAAATCCCTAATACCTTCCAGTAAGTTTCAAAAGCAACACTTGGAAGCAGAAGCAGCTAATGTGGATCCTCAGAGGGGTTCCTATAAGGTTTCTGTACTTCTGTCAGCTGTGCAATTCAAATTTTCTGCACTGCTATCAAGCAGCCTGGCAATTTAAGCAGGAATATACCTCTGAGTAAATAGGTATTTTGCTTATGGCATTTGTACTTTAGCGTAACAAGCAAGCACTCGCCCTCTAAATAAGTTAGACATTCATAATATTAAAATTCAATAGGTGTTCTTAACAAGAAATTCACAATAGTAACATCACACACACATTCCACAAATACTTATGATATTTGCACAACCACTTGCTTTGCAGTTCTTGTCTTCTTAACTGATGGGAGACTGAAACTGGCCCGCATATATCCCCAATAAAAAAGAACAGTATGTCGGAGTACTGAAAAACTCAGCCAAATGGGAAAATGCAATGAAAATAATATTGGCCTTCATGCAAAGAAGTAACAATTTATATGTACTATGCACAAAATATATATTACATTCTTTTAGTTAAATTATTGCTAAATTATAACAGTTGCATTACAATATTATTCTAAAATATTTTCTTCCACTATCCTACTTCTAGATGTCCTCTATTATCCTCCCCCCTCAAGATTTAAGGGCATGTGAAATAGTTTAGATGGAATTTGCATGAAACTTATCAACTTTGAAATAATGTTTGGATTTAAATTCTCCAATGAACCAAAAAGAACGTTTCACGCTTCCTTGTTACACAGCATTTGTTTTAGCTTTCCATAGCTCTCCCCAAGACCAACCAAGGAAGATAAACACAGAAATCTAACACTCTTGTGCACTTCTTTGCACTAAATTATCTGTACAGTAAGCCAAAAATAGTTTATGGTTATAATTAGCACACCTGTTTGCTCCATTAACATGCAAATACATTTTCTTGTTCAGAGACTGCACGAGAGATTTCCCAGTCCTTGTAAAATATGACATTAAATCCATACAACTACTCAAGTTTGTTTTCAAGGTGCACAAGGAAGGCACTATCTTTCAACACTTAGAAGTCCAACAATAAGCCTTTTTTTATCAAGTTTGGCTGACTTGTCCTTTCCAGAGCTAAGGTGTATTGTTTTACCCAAGATAATAGGAACGCTTTGTAAGGTGAATTACTCTTCCACCAGCACAGCATACCATACTCACATTCCTCTCTGCCAAGGGTTGCTAACTTATCTTTGCTTTCAAACTGACCTTTTTTTTCTTCCCCCAATCTTTTTATTATTATTATTATTATTATTATTATTATTATTATTATTATTATTATTATTATTATTATTATTATTATTTTTTATTATTATTATTATTATTATTATTATTTTTTATTATTATTATTATTATTATTATTATTATTATTATTATTATTATTATTATTATTATTTAAATTTATATACCACCCTATCTCCCTTACGGGACTCAGGGCGGTGAACAGGCAATAATAAAAGTCACAGTAAATATTACATAAAAGCCTGCTCTAAAAATATAAAACCCCTAACAAAACCCAATCAAAACTATGCCAGGCCGGCCGCATGGAACAGATGAGTTTTCAGGGCTAGGCAGAAGAGGCGCAGGGTCCGCAATTGTACGTAGGTCGGCGGGGGGGGGGCAGGTCATTCCAGAGGGCAGGAGCTGCCACAGAGAAGGCTCTCCCCCTGGGGGTCACATTGGCTGGCCGAGGGTACCCTTTTTTTATAATCACCTTTTAATAATCACTCCCCCCCCCAAAAAAAACCAGGAGAATGGCAACACAGGGGCAGATTTCAGGGCATTCACAATCATTCCTTCCCAGTTTCCACATCTCCCAGAAAACTGAACCCTACTAAAGGAATAAGGAGCAAGTAATCCAGCTGACTTTGCAACCAAGTTTCGGGTCTTCGTATTTTGGGCTTTTCAAGCAAGGTGCACAATACAACTGTATGCATGTTTATCCAGAAACCCAGCGTCTTTATTATGAGACGCTCTCCTCTAAAGTTCAGCCAGACTTCAGCCATTCCCAGTCAAACCACCGCCAAGGCAGAGGAGACGGCTCCTGGGCCCTCCCAAGGGCGGCTGGTCACCGTCTCCCACAGGTCCATCATCCCCAAATCTGCCCTAGGTGAAGCCCCGATCTTTTAGCCAGGTAAGTTTTGTTTTTGTTTTTTTAAAGGAGGGGGGGGCAGTAAGTAGGGTTGCCAGGTCTGCTTCCAAAAAAATAGCGGACAAGCGGGGGGGGGGGTTTAAGTAGTAAAGTAGACTGTACAGCTTTAGATTACGTACCATTTCATCCTAAAGCTTTTGAATAAAAAAAAAATGTCCACTATTTTGTGAAAAAAAAAATAGTGAACGTAATGTGAAAAAAGCGGACCGTCCACTCCAATAGTGGACACCTGGCAAGCCTAGCAGTAAGAGGTGGAGGAGGAACAGGAGAGCCACTTACCCCCTGTTGAACTTCGCGGATCTGCTAAACCGAAAAAAACTTCCTTTTGGAAAAAAAGCAGGAAGGAGAGCGGGTGCTTACCTGGAAAGAGCCACGTCGCTCGAGGCCGAGCAGGTCTGACCGTCCATTTCTCTTTAAGACGACTATGCGCTCCAGGTCGAAGTCCGGCGGAGGGCGGAATGCAAACTACGCCTACTCCCCGCAGGGCGCGAAGGAAACCGCCTGGGTCTCAGCTCCCTGGCGACCGGCCGCCCGCCCGCTCCCCGCCTCACCTGTCTGGAGCTGCTGGAGGCGGCCGAAAAGCTTAGACTTTGGCGGTGCTGCTGCTGGTTTCTCGCCGCTTCGGCGTCTCTGAAAGGAGACTCCCCATTCTCCCCTCTTCTCCTCCTCCCCCCGCCCCCTTCTCCAAGTTGCGAGGCGCTTCTTAACACCGGTTGCCCGGCTGAGGCGCTTCTCCTCCTCCTTCGCGGAGTTCAGCGGGAGCCGGGCGCAGCGCGCCTACGAGGGATGGGGAGGCCGCTTTTGAAACCACACCTTGGAAAACTTCGCCGGGAAGGGAGGCGGGGAGAGGGGGAAAAAGAAAAAAAGAAAAAGAATCCCGGCTGCAACGCGGAGCTTTCCCGGCTCCGAACGCCAGAGGGAAACCGCGCTTTCCTGCAGAGCGAGAGCAGCACTCCCTGTGGAGCGCTCCTCCACCGCCTCTTCTTCCAAGGCTTGGGGGGGGGGGGTTGTGTGGAGGGTGGCGGGAGAGTAAAGACTCCCTGGCTTCTTCCCCGTTTCCCTTTCTGCGACCTGCCCGCCTTCCTCGAGCTGCCTTTCGCCCGGCGAAGCGCTGGAGCAGCTGTTTTTTCCCGTGAGAGGCTGCAGCTGCCCGTTCCCGCCGCCGGGGGCGGAAAGGGGGGCCCGCGAGAGACACAGCCGGACCGAGGAGAGCCTTACAGGTGGGGGGGGGGGTGGAGAGAAGCGCGGATCGCTTCGGGCGTCTGAAGAGGTTAATCGTGTTAACGTTTCGCACGGCCCTTTCCAAATCCGCCTCCGTGCAGAGGGATCCGCGTCTGGGAAGAAGCGGCTTGGCCTCCTCGGCAGCGGCTTGCCGCCTTCAAGACATACCGGGGTGAAGGTGCCGCGGCGCGCTTTCCGCTGCGAGGACGCCCCCCTCTGCAAATGGGTTTGTTTTTGCTGCAAATCCTGATCGCTCGATTTGGTAGTTTTGGTTTGAGAGAAGGAAAGCCGGAAAGAGGGTTTTCCTCTTCTCCCTTTCAACGCCCAAAGCCAATTTTGGATCTCTATAAACTTGGTCTTTCTATCTTGCGCGATTTTAGTTTTTCGGGATTAGAAAAAAAAAAATTGTAGATACCTCTGAACGGACAGTCTCTAGAAAAGCAGATGCACTTTCTCTCGGCCCTAGGAAAGCAACGACGAGTCACTTTTAGAAAATCTTGCCAAGAATATTGCCCGGACTTGTCCAGAGAGTCGCCAGGAGTCAACATTGATTTGAAGCCATTTCTCCCCCCCCCCCCCAAAAAAGGGGGAGGGAGAACTGATGGTTGTATTCCGAATAGGCACATTAAATACCATTGGGGGAGAGGGGGAATCTCTTAAGCCTCTTAAAGATTTAGGGCCTTCCCCTTGTTACTCCTAATCATGATACAAACATACCCTAGCTGACAGTGTTTCTCAACCTTGGCAACTTTAAGATGCAGGGACTTCAACTCCCAGAATTCCCCAGCCAGCATGGGTGAGTGGTGATTCTGGGAGTTGAAGTCCATGCATCTTAAAATTGCCAAGGTTGAGAAACACTGCGCCTAGCAACATATATTTTTTTCTCATGGCCTCTTGACATAGCTGTCAGCTCATCCCCATCCCTTGAGACAGGCTTAAGCCGTCATTATCTGTACTTATGCTAAAGTAGTGTTTGGGAACTTATTCTGACCCTCAGAGAGTTCAAAGTCTATGAAGTATTGTCTCCCATTTTCCTCACTGCCCTGACAAGAACTGCAGTCAAGAGAGGCAGAATAGAGATCTAGATTGCAGGTTTCCTGTTTTCTGACAAGTGAAAGATGGATAAACAACACTTCATCTCAGCAATGGGAAGCAGCTGTCAAGAAGTAGTCCTGTTGACTTCACCGGACTACTTATATAAAAGCACAATAGGATCTGTTAACCAGCATTAGCAATGCCAAAATATCATAACATAGTGGCTTGAGTACAGATAGTCCTTGACTTACAGCAGTTCATTTAGTGGCCATTTCAAGTTAAAACAGCAGGGGGGAAAGTGACTTTTGACCATTTTTCACACTTATGACCGTTGTAGCCTCCCCATGGTCACATGATTTACATTTGAATGCTTGACAACTGACTCACATTTATGACAGTTGCAGTATCCCAGAATCATGTGATCCTCTTTTGCAACTTTCTGATCAGCAAAGCCAATGGGGAGGCTAGATTCACTTAACAACCAATTTAACAACTGCAGTGATTCATTTAACAAATGTGTCAAAGAAAAATTGTAAAATGGGGCAAAACTCACTTAACAAATTTCTCATTTAGCAACATAAATTTTGGGCTCAATTGTGGTCATAAGTTGAGGACAACTTGCATACACAAATTTTAAAAAGCTGAAAATATTAAAATGTACAGAAGCCCTGCCTGTGCAGAATGGCACAGGTCAGTCCCAAGAATTTCTGAATCAGGTTTACAGGTAGTAAATTTGTCAAAAGCAATTGGTGCATCTTACAACTCATTTTTTTAATTATAATTTAATCACATTTAACTTAGTTTTACAAAAGTAACATTCTATTGTAGAGATGCATTTTTATTAAACGAATGAACAGGGCTAAAAATGATGTTAGATCAGCTTTGCATTTAGTCAGCTGAAGTATGATTAAATGAGACGAGTCCAATATAAGACAAAATGGCTAATTGTCTGGATATTGCATAACTCCTTTAAAAAAATTAAAACTCAACCTAATCTCATATTGAAAGTTCAGTCATTACTTTTAGAATAAATAAGTCTTTGTTCAAATTATATTTATAGTATGAATTGCATAATAAAAGGAAACTGGCAAATAATTATTTTTATTACGCTTGTATTGTTCTTTGGTAACAGACGTGCATGGAATGGAATTTTCCACCATACAGCATAAATCAACATAAGGAAAGCCCTGCATTATTGAGTGTTCCCTCTATAAAAAAAATTTCTGAAGTTCCCAGCTAAGACATCAGTCTCCACCCCCACCCCCCCTAATCTTAGATTGGCTCTGTCTCTACTGGCCTTTAGGAACGTAGCAATAGCAATAGCACTTAGATTTATGTACCACTTCATAGTGCTTTACAGGACTCTTTAAGTGGTTTACAGAGTCAGCATATTGTCCCCAACAATCTGGGTCCCCATTTTACTGATCTTGGAAGGATGGAAGGTTGAGTCAACCTTGAGCCCCGTCAGAATCAAACTCCTGCCAGTGGGCAGACTCAGCCTGCAATACTGCATTCTAACCACTGTGCCATTACACCTCCTAAAGTCCCTAAAGACATGGCTTAGTGTCAGGCTTGTCTCAACTCAGACATTTAGGAAAGAAAGACCTTTAGCTCCATTGTTTGAAGTGAAAAGTTCTTTTACTAAAGTTAAGTGGTTACTGCAAAAGCAAAGCTGGATCTGAGTATTCCTGCCTAAAGGTTTAGTTTCCCCCCCCCTTTTCTCAGCCCTCCCCCCTTGACCAGTCCATCAGTGTCCAATAGCCTTCGTTTCTGATGTTTTGGGAATGGCTTTGAGGTTTGTCATCTCTCTGGTGTAGTTTCGCATTTCGTTCTCAGGTTCTGTCCTTGATCAGCCGGTCTACCAACGGTGGGGCGTTTTTACACTGGCTTTGTAAAGGCGCTTGATGCAAGGATGGATTTTGGCCACTGCCCATGGTTATTCTTGGGTTTTAAGTGGTTTCTGATGTTTTATATGTTTCTATATTGGTTTTTAACCTTTTTATTAAATTACTGTTTTAACTGTTATAAGCCCCTCAGAGGCAGCTAGGTGAAATGGGCAGCCCTATAAATAATAATAATAACAATAATAATAACAACTTTATTGTCACTTTGAAAGTACACCAATCGGCATACATCAAAATGAAATTTCGTTGCATACAGCTCTCAAAGGGTCACCACCTCCGATATACAATCAATAAATGCATACATTATTCAATATAGGTGTTCCCCGTTTCTTGCTGGAAGGTTACAGTCTGATCTCAAGTTTATTTATTTATTAATCAAATATATAAGGCTGTCCATCACACTGAAAGTGACTGGGCAGCATACAACATTTCAGTAAAGCAAATTATTGCTGGGCACATTCGGTTGTGCAGACCCAGTGCCCCTAGATCAAGATGAAAACAAAGTCGGAATTCTATTGAAATTTTGTTCCCTGATAGCATAAAAAGAGGGGGGGGGGGTTCTACAGCTGTGTTAGATAAACAGTCCTGGAAATAACAAATGGGATGAGTGGGAATGAAAATTAGCTATATGGTGACCAATAGCTGTACTGAAACTACTTTATATTGAAGAAAAATGTATTAAAGTTGCTTATTTGGATTCCTCTGTCTTTCAGAGCAGAAATAAATAGCAAGCCCAGACTTACTGTGATTACTTAAACCAATGTCCTTTGGTTTAATTGGGAAAATCACTTTTTTTTTGTCCCAGAGGGAAGAACTTTTTAATGAAAATTTCATGCGTATGTGATTCTTGCTCATGTTAGTGATGAAATGGCTGAAGAACATATTTTATGAGTATCCTATCTTTTGTTGCACAGTCTGTTGCAGAAATCTCAAGAGAAATTATCATAATTTCTTTTGTGGAACTTTTACAGATCAGGAAGCAGAGCCGTCCATAGGACATGCAGAGAGACTGAAAGATGGGTAAGAAGTAGAGAACGGAGCCACCTGACAACTATAAAAAGTGAAAGTCACTTTCCCAAGAAATTCTCAGTCACCCTGAGAGCTAATTTGGCAACTTTGAAAAACTCTGCATTACATCCTATCTTATTTCATCTGAATATGATACAATGCTGAGGAATTCTGGGAGTTGAGGTCCACACACCTTAAAGTTGGCAAATTTGAAAAACACTGTTAATGCAGGATTAAAAGGACCAGATTTCCTTTTAGGAAATTAAGGAGGTACTGATTTAAAATGCTTTTGCATTGTATCGTGTATCTTTTCTTTGTCCCAATTTTAATTTGAAAGAAATGATTTGAAGGACAATGCTAATCGATCTGTTATGATGTTATGATACCTTTATCCTATGATCTCTATCACAGTAGTAAATCAGCAGATTTTAGCAGAACAGAAACTCTTTGTCTCACTTATCTGTGCATACAAGTGGTTTGCGTCTGACTGCC